TAAAGAAAACATAACCCAACATTTCTACATCCACAAACGTAAAATATTTTGCCTAAGTTCATGTCAATTTCCAAAGGCATGCCAGTCACAGAAGAGAAAAAAATTTCCCTAAAACTGCTCTGCTGTTTCTTTAGTAGTTTTTTGTATGTATATATGTATGTATACGTATTTATTTAGAGACAAGGATTTACTCTGTCTCCCAGGCTGGAGTACAGTTGCAATTGTGTGATCATACATCATTGCAGCCTTGAACTTCCAGGATCAAGCTATCCTCCCACTCAGCCTCCCAAGTAGCTAGGACTACAGGCATGTACCACCACGCCCAGCTAATTTTTCTTATTTTTTGTACAGATATGGTCTCACTGTTATGCCCAGGCTAGTCTTGTACTCCTGGCCTCAAGCAATCCTCCTGCCTCAGCCTCCCAAAGTGCTGGGATTACATGCATGAGCCACCATGCCCAGCTAATAATTATTAATATTTAAGCAACACTTGCTGGGTTCTAACTATTTGACAGGTACTATGCTGAGAGTATTCACATATGCTTTCATTTAAAAAACCAAGGGTTAAATAAGTAACTTAACTAAACTTATACACCTAGCAATTAGCAGAGTTTTGGTAAACATCTTCCCCATTACAAATTCAGTGTTATTTTTGCACTACCACCTGAAATTCACTTATGAGAGTAAATCACGGCTACACACATATTATTGCAGAGTAAATAGGCTTCTTTAAGGAATAGTTTACAAAGTTAAAAGTATATGAAAATGCTTTGCAACATGTAAAGTATGAAGTATTCATGCTATGGTATCTGGAAAACTTGTGTTCAAGCCTTGCTTCACCATCTATGTGACTTTGGGAATTTTTTATCTTTCTGCCATCTGGGTTGTTATGTGAATTAAATGGTTAATACATGTAAAAAAGAATGGTACCTAGTTTATAGTAAGTTCTCAAATATTAACTATTATTATAATTAAAGTTTTAGAAAAACTGAAACACTCATAAATTGTTAGTAGGAATGTAAAATGGTACAGCAGCTAAGCAAAGCAGTACAATTCTTCAAAAAGTTAAACAGAATTATCCTATGACCCGGTAATTCCACTCCTACATTATACGGCAGAAAAATGAAAATACATGTCCACATAAAAAACTTGTACACAAATGTTCACAGCAGCACTATTCCCAATAGCCAAAAAAGTGGGAAAAAACCAAATGTCTATCAACTGATGATGGATAAACAAAAGGTGGTACTATAACAGATTTGTATTTGGCAATAATAAGGAATGAAATACTGGTACATGCTACAATATGCATAAACCTTGAAATCATTATACCAAGTGGAAGAAGTGAGATAAGAAAGACTACATATTTTATGATTCTATTTATATAAGAAATGTCCAGACTAGGCAAATCCACAGAAATAGGTTAGTGGTAACCACACTTAAGGGGAGAGAAGTGTTGTAATTGGACAGACTGATAATAGGTACAGGGTTTCTTCCAGAGGTCCTGGAATTAGATAGTGGTTATGGTTGTATAACATAGTGAATATATTAAAAACCAATGAATTGTGTACTTTAAAATTGAGTTTTCTGTTATGTGAATATTTCAATAAAAAAAGAAAAATATAAGTTGATACTAAGGATGCAAATAAAAAATTAGGAAATCAATTTTCATTTACTTCTGAGAAATACAATGGTAAAGAAACATCTAATCATTGTGGGGGAAAAAATGACCAAATTGATAAATGACAAAAGATGACCCTTACGATTTGCTAATAGATGATAATCTTCCTAAGGAATGAAAGCAATGGGCCTTTTTGAAATTACTATTTAGATTGGCCATCTATTGTCAAGCTTATTTACTTTCAAAGCATTTCTAAACCTGGGTACTGAGGAACTGAGATTGTCCTTTGTCTTCCCTTTACTTCTGAAGGTCAAATGAATGAGGTCACTTCTAGGGAGAGGCAGAAAAATACCCCAGAAGAGACACATTAAGTTATTTTCTACTTAATGCCATTATTCTTCAATAATATTGAAGTATTGAGCCCCAGAAAATACTCTGCTTATTTTGGGTTTCTTTTTTTGAGACAGGGTCTTACTCTGATGCCTGGGCTGGAGTGCAGTGTTGAGATCACAGCTCACTGTAACTTGGAATTCCAGGGCTCAAGTAATCCTAACTAGTGAGAACTATAGGTAGGCACCATTATGCCAAGCTAATTCTTTTAATTTTTTATGGAGACAGGGTCTTGCTATGTTGCCCAGGCTGGTCCTAAACTCCTGGCTTCAAGTGATCATCCTGCCTCAGCCTCCCAAATTGCTGGGATTATAGGTGTGAGCCACTATGCCCAGCCCTCTTTGCTTATTCTAAGAAGCATATTTATTTTATATTTTAACATTTCTTGAAATCAAGTGCTTCTTAAAATCAATAATTACATTTGATGTTTTTCTTTGAAAAACTCTCTGTAAATCATTGGTGTGGCATACATTGATGAGATCACAGAATCGAAGAAAAATAGCAATAATAAATGATCACCTATTTATTTGCTTAGAAATTATTCTGAGACCAGAGGAAATCAACTGTGATTTTCTTTAAAGGATACTTTATTAAAAATTGGCTTTCTCACTTTTGAAGACCTTCATATAGTTGTCATACAGTTGGAAGGTAGGTGGGGCAGCAGGAAAATAGAGGCACAGGTCCTGAATTTTTGAAGGCAGATGTCTGTTCATTTAGTATAGCAGTATTTATTATCCGTGGTCAAGGTTTCTGGAATTGGTCATGTGGTATCTAAAATCATTAACAACCTAGCATGCTAGGAGGCCGAGGCAGGCGGATTGCTCAAGGTCAGGAATTCAAAACCAGCCTTAGCAAGAGTGAGACCCATCTCTACTATAAATAGAAAGAAATTAATTGGCCAACTAATATATATAGAAAAAAATTAGCTGGGCATGGTGGCACATGCCTATAATCCCAGCTACTCGGGAGGCTAAGGCAGGAGGATTGCTTGAGCCCAGGAGTTTGAGGTTGCTGTGAGCTAGGCTGATGCCATGGCACTCACTCTAGCCTGGGCAATAAAGCACGACTCTGTCTCAAAAAAAAATAAATAAAAATAAAAAATAAAAAAATAAAAATAAAATCATTAACAACCATACGAAATACAAGAGTTTCATGGAAGCATGAGAGGTCACTGGCAAACTTCTTTATGACTTGCCAAGTAAAAGGAATGTGAAGCATGGTAAAATCAAAGGCTATATACAACTAAGCAAGGAGTTAATAGGTCCTAGCAGAACTGCTGGTTTAAATTTCTACTTTATTCCACTTTAGAAGTAAAAAGTCACCAGCTTAGATTTGGGGTTGATTTGCACTCTAGATGATACTGGGGAGCAGAGAGTATGCATTAACAAATGCAAATTATAGCACGAGGACAAGTGCCCTTGGTTAAGTTGAGCTGCTATGAACCTCTCCCTCCCCCAATCAATTATCAAGAGCTGTTGATTCTACCTTCCAAATAGCTCTCACATCCACCCCTCCTCCTTTCCATCCCAAAAGCCTTAAATTCAGGCCTCTTCATTGCTCAATTGGATTATCGCAATTAACTTCCTTATCACAGGATTGGTAATTCATTGTCATTCTCTCTGGGTACTTTACATTACGGTAAGGCTAAACTGCTAGTAATTTCCTAACAAATATCTGCTCATTCTGTAGATCTTAGTTCAGTTGTCTTAGGGAGACACTAACAAAGATGACAAACAGGTGCCAGTGCTTTCTGATTTGTAATAATTGTGTAGTCTGCTGAGCAAGAAAGGCTTACACTAGTAATGTCTGCTGTGAACAAAGCACCAAAGCTTAGCAGATTCCAGATATTACTCTGGATTTAAACAGAATTTTAAATTAATTATATCCCGTTGATTTTAAAGGGAAAAGAAACGGCTCTCAGTAATACATTTGTACAATGGTACCATGGGGATAAAAAAGATCAACAGCCATGTAACAGGAAATGTAAAAACTCCATCAGAAACCTACCTAATGATTACAACTGAGAAATAAATATAAGTTAAGCTTACTGGCAGCCAAGGGAAAGAAAATGGAAACTGCCTAAGTGGTTAATTAATTCATCTAATATTAATGCATAAAAGATGAAAAGAAGGCTTTAAGAAACTTATAACCTATAAGAAAGACAAATGTGGGAAATATTTCATTGGTGATATTTCAAAGCACTGGATTCACCAAGTCCTGGGTTTGAATGCTGGCCCTGTCATTTTTGGCAATGTGAGACCAGACAAGTTACAGCCTTTAATTTCACAAAATCAATGTCCTTGTAAATTAAAATGAGGATAATCATATTTTGAAGTTGAGATAATATAAAGAAAGCATTAAAAACAGTGCCTGGTACAGAGTGAACATTCAATATAAAACTATATGATAGTTTCTATAACAAAAATTAAACACAGTCCATGAGAGAACATCTTCCTGGAAGGCCATAAGGAGACAGTAATACTTGAATTGAGACCTAAAGATAAATTAGTTTGCCAGGAAAACAAGTTGGTGGGAAGGCATGCCAGGCAGAAGATAAAGTATATGCACAAATGCTGAGGAATGAAAAAGATGGCACGTTCTGTATGACAGAGTCTAGATTTGTAAGTGAAAAGAAACCACTAAATAATTCTATGTGTACTATATGATTTCAAGCAAAAATGACAACTTCTCTGGGCCTTATCCATATATTATTTGATTTGATCAGGATGATTTTAAAAATTAAATGAGAGAAAACATGAAAAGTCCCAGAGCACAGTGTTAGGCACAAAAAAGATAAAACACTTCTGAAATCTAACTTAATGACTCAAGATCATTGCTAAATAGTAGCAAAAGGAGATTTTGTAGTCATATTACATAACTTTTAGTAAACTACTTTAGAAGTTATGCACATTATAAAACATAACATCAATTTATGCTAGATAGAGTAATATTTCAGTAACAGAGAAGGTAATTTACAAATACTAGTTACCTTGATCAAATATTTTTCCCATCTGTCTGCTGTAACAGATTTACCAATCTTCCTCATCAACTTCAAATGGAGCTCCACCAATTCTTTTGGTACTTAAAAGGAAGAAAAAAATACTGTTAGCAGCAAAATAAAACATCTGAAAACATTTAAGATTATAGAAAAGTAACTTTCTCCAACCCTGAATTCTTTCTCAAACTAGATGATGTTGATTCTAATTATCTTTTAGGCCCCTCAATCAGAAAAGCCTAAAGTACCGCTTGAAATAGGACTGAAAACCACTTTCTTTCTTTTTTTACAGACAAGGTCTTGCTCTGTGGCCTAGGCTGGAGTGCAGTGGCTCGCTATCATAGCTCACTGCAACTTCCAACTCCTGGGCTCAAGCAATCTTTCTGCTTTAACATTCTGAGTACCTGTGACTACAGGTGACTGCCACCACACCTGGCTAAGATTTTTGATTTTTTGTAGAGACAGGTTCTTACTATGTTGCCCAGGCTGGTCCTGAACTCCTGGCTGTAAGGGATCCTCCTGCCTTGGCCTCCCAAAGCACCAGGATTACAGGTATCAGCCACTGCGTCCGGCCCCACTTTCTTAAAGAGCAGGAATATTCATAATTTCTTTCAAAATACCATCAAGTAAGAGTGAAACCTAACATAAACTATATGCCCTAGGTGATAATGATATGGCAACACAGTATGTTCATCTATTATAATAAATGTACCACTGTTGCCAGAGTCCATAGTAGAAGTTGTACATGTGGAGGCTGGGGATATATCTGAACTCTGTTCTTTCCACTTAATTTTTCTGTGAACCTAAAACTGCTCTAAAAAATTCTATTTAAAAAAATCTACCATCAAGTAAAAGCACTTAACTACACAACTAAAGTTTCTTTTTCTTTCTTTTTTTTTTTTTTTGAGACAGAGTCTCGCTTTGTTGTCCAGGCTAGAGTGAGTGCCGTGGCGTCAGCCTAGCTCACAGCAACCTCAAACTCCTGGGCTCAAGCGATCCTTCTGCCTCAGCCTCCCAAGTAGCTGGGACTACAGGCATGTGCCACCATGCCCGGCTAATTTTTTATATATATATCAGTTGGCCAATTAATTTCTTTCTATTTATAGTAGAGACGGGGTCTCGCTCTTGCTCAGGCTGGTTTTGAACTCCTGACCTTGAGCAATCCGCCCGCCTCAGCCTCCCAGAGAGCTAGGATTACAGGCGTGAGCCACCGCGCCCGGCTTTTACTGAGATTTTAGACCAAGACAGACTCACAGAATTAGAGAAATCAAGAATTCTAAATTCTAGGTTGACTCAGAAATCAAGTCTAATTTAAACTGTTTCAAAAGACCACTTTTCATCCCTTATCTGATGTGCTAAACTTCTCCACAGCATCTCTATGTATCTTTGCTTGACAACCTTCATGAACAAAAAAATTATTTACCTTCTAAAGCACTTAGTTCCATTTTCCAGATAGTTCTAATTAGTAAAAAGTTACTATTAATCTAAGTAAAAATCTGCCTTCCTACAACTTCCTCCCTTTATTCTGGGTCTTATTCTCTAACCTTTAAATATTTGAGGATTGCTGTATCTTCCCTCAGGTTATCTGTTCCAGACTGTAAGCAACTAGAGTTCTTCCTCCATATATCCCTGTCATCATGATCTATGTTTTTAAATTATATTAATTAAACCTAAGGAAAATATAAGACACATATACCTGCCAAATTCACCATTGCCTAAATCCCAAATATCACTAGTATCTAGGAAAAATTATATGTAGACTATCTAAAAATATATTAGGAAAATGTTGGTTCAAAAAAAAGGTTTTTTATCACAGGACTCTTGGAAGTCTTTGTTGATTGCCCTTATGTGCATTGTGAATATCCAAAGAAGGGACATAATCTGCAGCATTATCTAATATATTTGATGCAATATCCTATAGGACACAAACGCTGAGAAACAGATTGAGAAATGATGACCTAATATTTTTCAGTCATGCTTTCATTCTCCACTAAAGCTACTTCTCATTTGAAACAACACTTTGAAGTATAAAAATATTCATTCACTCAATAAATTTTAGTGGGTCTACTATTAGTAAGCAAGAAAAATTGAGTTTCACTAATTGAGTCTTAGTGAGGAGGATTGGTGGTTGAAGGTGGGGGTAGGGGAAGAGTGGTTACAAACAAGTAAATAGACAATTATACTAATGCCTGAAGTATGGGGTTGAGGGTGGAATGGAGAAAAGGAAGGGAAGGACATTGCTTACAGAAACAAAAGCAGATGCAAATGGTTAAAAAACAAAATGTGGAACTGGAGGCATGGGCATAAGAAAAAGAGCATGATCATGAAGGTCAGGTTAAGAACTTTAGATTTTATTTAAGCAGAAGAGAGCTCTACATTTTAGAAAGAGCTCAATGACTGAATTGGAAGATACGATTTTTAAATAACGGCAGCTTTTATTTGCTTGTTTTAGAAGGTAGAGTGCAGGGCAGAAATTAGATGGAAATCAGGAAAAACATCATTCCAGAAAGATGGGAGTAGCCTGAACTAAGGTAGAGGAAGTACAGGAAGAAGTAGATAGGTCTGAGAAATGTTTGAAAAACAAAATATTAAAACTTAGTGATTGTGCAGTGATGAAGAATCATGAAAACCTGAGGTACTGGATTAGGAACTGAGTAGATGTCAATGACAACATGATAAGAAGAAAAAGACATGGGCTCAATTCTCAGTTCCACTACACATGTAAGGAGATAATGATTCTTGTCGAGTCCTCTAAACAGTGAACTTCAATTTTCTCATCTGTAATAAAAGGTTGCGTTGGCTATCTCATGGAGTTTTGAAACTATAAAACAATGTATAAAGCTAAAATACTTTTTATTTGTCATGATTTTTTAGGAATGAAAGTCACTTTCAGTTTCTCCTTTTCCCCGAACACAGGAATCTCCCTTTCTACATCTTAAACCTGCTCCCTATTTCCTCCAGTTTCTCTAGAACATTACTGTCTTTTCATGTCAGAAAAATAGATATGGACAGTCTCCTGCAACCAAACCAATCTTCTAAAAATAATGCTTTCATGTCACTTCCCAGTAGATTAATATGCTTTATGGCTCCTAAATACCTACATAAACCTATCTAGATTTCTTACCCTAGCCTCAGAGTCCCAATATTCAGTCTCAATCTAACTCTCTAATCTTTCGGTCTTATATACTGAAATCCTTGATTCAAATCATTCTGGCCAGTTATGGTCCACTAAGCATACTCAGCTCATTCATTACCTAGGTGGGGAGCTTTATAAAAAGCCTTCCAGCTTACTGTTTTTGCCCACTGGAATCACATTCATCTTTCAATATCTAGGCAATACAAGTCCCCAAAGTCTCAGTTTTCCAATACCAGCAACTCCTTTGTCTTTGGAATGCCCATTGTATTCCTATTATCTGTACCACTCATTTCGTAGTTGGATAAAAGTTTTGCACCAGTGTCTGATGCATGTCCCCCACATCATACTGTTATAAAAAATCATGAAAGATTTGAATACTACTGGTACTATTTCTTAAAAGCCAATAAGGACAAAAACAAATATGCAATAAATATATCTGCATCCCATTTTATAAATCAAGTTGTTGATTTAGGTATGTACAAATACATTATATAATATTTGATTAATATTATTAGAGTATCAGCTTTTGTACAGACAGCACTGTTCAATAGAAATATTAGATAAGTCACATAATTTCAAATTTTCTTTCTTTATCACTATTTTTTGTAGATACAGAGTCTCATTCTATGACTCAGGAGCTCAGGATGGAGTGCAATGGCATGATTACAGTGCACTGTAACCTCTGAGTCCTGGATTCCAGCAATCCTCTGCCTCAGCCTCCTAAGCAGCTACAACTATAGGTGCATGCCACCACACCTGGCTAAGTTTTAAAAATTTTTTGTACAGATGGTATCTTGCTATGTTGCCCAGGCTTTGAACTCTTGGTCTCAAATGATTCTCCTACTTCGGCCTCCCAAAGTGCTGGGATTACAGGCATGAGCCACTGTGCCTTGCTTAATTTCAAATTTTCTAGTAGCATATTTAAAAAAGTAAAAAGATGTTAAAATTAATTTTCATAATATATTTTATTTAATACTATATACCCAAAATGTTATTTCAACAAATAACCAGCCTTTGGAAGTTGGGATATTTCACATTTTGTACTAAGTATTTTACACTTACAATACATCTCAATTCATACTATCTACATTTGAAGTGCTCAAGAGCCAGATGTGGCCAGTGGCTACTATATTGCATAGGACTGGATAGTATAGAGCTAGCTTATTTGAAATTAAAATATATAACCCACTAAATTTATTAATTGAAATTATTTATACTTTCTGTTACAAATAGAACTGACAAGTTGATAATCTTTAAGAGTATTAGGAGCTCTTAATAATTTGTCAGTGGATAAGAGATAGGCAAAAACTTCAATAGAAAAATTAATCAGCATATAGTTTATTAAACATTAAAATCATACTTTCTATTCTCTAAACAGCACTGTGTATTCAATAGATCATTCTAGGATGATCAAAATGTTCCATATCTGCACTTTTCAGTACAGTAGCCATTAGCCACATGCGACTACTGAGCATTTGATATGTGGCTAATGAAAATCAATTTTAAATTTTATTTATTTTTAATTGACTTAAATTTAAAAAGGCACATGGTGAGCCACCAGCCGGAGGCACCTCCAGGGAATGGGACCTTCCCTTTTGGGGCCCTACAGCTGACTGAGGGGAACTCAGATGGTGAGCTCCCTACTGGCCAGCCCTCCCAGGTGCTGCTGGCCTGGTGATCCCAGGAGAGCGGGGCAGACCCTGAGGCTGAGAGACATAGACCCAGCTTGGGCTCCCTGTGGGTGAATTGGGACCAGCACTCCTCTCCCTGGTGGGGATATAGTTTGAACTCTGGGACCCAGAGGTCAGACCTACAGACCAGATCCTGTGCACCCAGGTCTCCCATTGCCCGGGACACAGAAGGGATATAAACGAATAGCCTACTGAGGTGTGTATGCCTTCAGAGGCACATCAGCGTCCTAGAGGGCAACCCTCCTCCCAAAAGGAGGCC